TTTACAGATGTGTTAAAAATGTCTTGTTCTGTGATGCATCCCCTACCTTGAGCTGAAGGCTAACTCTATTCCCAACCCCCAGTTCATCTTCTACCCTGTTAACCACAAACCCACCAAGCCTGTAAGTACACATTTTCATGGCTGTAGAATGCTGGGAAACACCAGACTTGATAATTATAGGTGGTAGGTGATCCTTTTGAAAGGGGTCTTATGAAATTTTTCCCATGAATAAGTAGTTACAGTGATAGATTTTGTCCATCAGCCATAATGAAGGGTCACTCTGCATGTGTGTTTTATACAAAAAGTATTGCTGGTCATACTTTAAAAGAATTTTCCCCTAAACATTTTCAAGCATTAAGAAAAATATTGAGTTGATTTTGCAGTTGGCATTTTTAATGTAGTATTTGCCCTGTGGAATCATTGTGTTAGCTTTTTAACATGGATTTGTCCTAGGGAAACAGTTTGGAATGTAGAGAGAGTGTGCTTCCATCTGTGAGATGATTGTGTTTATGGAGACATTTATCCAGTGGTTCTAATCTGTCAAGTTTCATATCTGTATGTCTGATTTAGTTGATTTCTATACATATACAAATTTAATATACTTCATGCATCATTTCATAGATTTATTTATTAATCTGATGCTTTTTTGTTTTTATTCTGCCCTCATAACTCAACCCCTGTAGAGAAAATGATTAAATAGCTGTTTCACCCTTTAGAAATATTCTTAGACTTTGAGTCTGGTGCTATTTGTTGAATGTGTTGGTTTCAGGGTTTGTTATGCTAGATTTTTGAAAGGCATTTGCTGAATTGAGTAAAATTTAAAATATGGTAAAATCTAAAATAAGGTATTTCAATTCTTATTTATTTGATCATCTGAAAATACTATTAAACTGAAAAATAAAAGACTCCATTTTTTTTTTTAAATGCAAGTGGTAAACAGGTTATCAAATGAGATACTATGTGACCAAGTTTTTTTAAATAAGAATAAAATTATCTATAGTCATAGCAAGGGCTTCTTTGAAAAAGCAGATATTCTTAGTCATTCTATAGTCACAGTACTTGATAATCATGATTTGCTGAGTGTTGGTTCTGGCTCTGTGACTCTGCACAAATGTGAACAGGGCATATGAGACATGATCTGTGCACTTAAAGAGCTCTGCACTGTAATTGTAGAGATGACACCTGTACGGAAACACCTGCATTACAAGGCAGTGCATGAGGTGTTATAACACTGGTAGAATTAAGAGTTATATGAGTTTAGATAAGGGGAGATCGCCAATTGGGTGTCAAGGATGTCTTTATGGAAAAAATGAACTTGAAGACTGTTTCACACTGATTATTATCATTACCATGTCTAACAGAATTTGGAGAGTAACCAGAACTTAAAACTCGTGCTTACCTCTGCTTTTTCATTTGGTTAACTGAGAGTATGGCATAATGATTAAGAATAAAATATCTGCCCTGTTCTTAATAAATGTGACCTATCATCTCATCTGTGTACTTTGCTGCAAAAATTCAGTGCAATCCTTGCTCCTCCAAGAAGCCTTTCCTGTCAAACCAAAGTGTATGAGTTGCTCCTTTCTCTTTCCTAGAGAATCCTCAGCATGTCATTAACAGAGCCTTAATCTATTATACCAATTTCAAGTTGTTGCTTTACTGCTCTCTCTCACTAAAGTTCCTTGAAGTAATGGAATGTATATATCCCAAACCTAGCATTATTCCAACTGCTATTCTTCACATTATTCCTAGTGTCTAAAGCTCAATAAATTTTTGTTGAATGATTGAACTCAAAGATTACATCCTGTATAAGAAAATGGATATTTATACAAGGTTGATAGCAGTGATGATGGAGAGAATTGGGTGAATTCAGGATATGTTTTGAGATAGAATTGACAGGATTTATTGATGGATTTGGATGTGGAGAAGGAGGGAGACAGATAAACCAAAGCTTGGTAATGCCATTAGTTGAGATAAAGAGACTGGAGGAAGAATAACTCTGTTTTGCAGACATTGTTTGAGAAACTTATTCCACTTTTGAGTAGAGCTATCAAATAGGCAGTTGCATATGAATCTGGAGCTCAAAGAAGAGATCAAGACAAAAATATAAATCAGGAAATCAGTAGCATATAGGTGGTACTTAAGGCTACCTGGCAGGATGAAATTGCTTTGTGAGAAAATGTAAGTTCAGGAGAGAAGAGGGCCCAGAGCCAAACTTACATGCTCCAGCATTTGGTGGTCTGGAAGAGGTGGAGAAGCTAACAGAAGAAACTGAGGAAGCGGGAGAAAAACTAGAGGAAACTTTCTCAGGGAATTGCCAGTTGGGTCATGTGCTGCGTGACAGATTTGGATGAAAAGTAAGAAGTGATCGTTGCATTTGGCAACATGACGATTGTTAGTGACCTTGACTGTGCAGTGGTGGGGTCTGGGTCTGGAAGCCAACTGGATAGGCTTTCAAGACTGAATAGGAAGTGAGGGAGTAGAAATCTGTAGGAACTAAATTCTTTAGAGATGGATATTGTGTCTTTTGACCTCACCAGCCTTAGGTTTCCAACCTCCCAGATTATTTCATGAAATCCCAAGCTCAACTCATGATGTCCTGCCCTCCAAAATCTATGCTTTTCCTAAGTTTTCTATTATTAATGAATGCACCTTCCTTCCAGTATTCAGACTAGAACCCTCATGGTTAATGTGGTCATCTCCTTTCTCCACTTATCCCCCTGTAATTAGTTGCCATGGACTGTTGCATCTTCACAGCATTTTTCAAATTGGATTCCCCCTTTTCATTGCCACTGCCACTGCCAATGCCACTGCCACTGCCACTTAAGTTGCTCTTGCCAGGCACTAATTAGCTCTTCTTCAAACTCCTCTAATAGTTTCCAAAGTACTCCCTGCTTTTATCTTCTCCCTTGTCAGTACGTTATCCATCACAGCTAGAATGTTCTTCCTAAAACACAGTGTTGCTCATGTTATTCTCTTGCTAAAAATAAAACCAGATCCTTTTAGCCTGGCAGTCAGAACCCTCTACCTTCTCGTCATTCAACCTGCTGTTCTGAAGTATGTGCTGTTTCTTAAATGTAACTGGCATTGTCTCACCTCCACACTCACTTTCACCTCTGCTTGACATGCCTCCCCCTCCCTTCTCTTACCTCTTCCCTATTTCCAAATGCTTATTACCTCTAACAAACAGTAGAGGCTGCCCTACATATTAGAAAATTTCAAAGCTTTCAGTGCTACTGCTTTACTTGATCAGTTCTGTAAAGGTTTCACAATACTGATTTTTACTTTAAACCATAGTTATCTGTACCACCACCACCTCACCCAAGCTTCATTTTTAGGAATTGGGTACAGATATGATTTACTGTCTGAAGGGAAGTTTCTTGTAAACTTTACAAACAGTCATGGGTCATGACATTCTGTAAATAGAGAATGTCTAGGAAAAGCCCTCTGCTAGGCCTCTCCTCTTTTCTCAGTAGCAGCTTCCCCTTGATTTTGGTGAGGCAGCCAGAAGGAAAGGTGAGCATGGTAAAATGAAAGGCAGCTTTCTGCATTTGGGCAGTTACTCATTAACACTGAGTTTTAGCTTATTGAAATGGGAGGTGCCTTTTAGGAATTTTGCTCACTGCTACATATTCTAAGAGAAGGAAAGCAGATGCTCTCTAAAGATTGTGGCCATAGAAAAATAATTACTCATTAGAATATCAACCTATCTATCATCTTTTCCACCCATCAGTGGCCTTAGGGAATTGTTCCTAAGAAGTAAATTGAAGGTATCTTTTCAGGATGTTCTCTTATGATTCATGTTGCCTTTCTGTTACATATTTCAGCACTCACCCCATTACTGGAATATAAAGTAGGTTTGGGGCATGTTTATTTTGTACCTAATCTTTTAAGAATAAAGTTGGACTATTAGCTGAAGGGAAACAATTGCATGTGTTTTTGAAAAGATGAGATTAGAAATCACATCCTTTTTCTTAGTTAATGAACTTGATGCTGGAGCATTATTCCAAAGAGTCGGTATTTTTGGAAAAAAAGGAGTGATATGACCATCTGATTTAAGAACCTCCCCTTGACTGTGACAAGAATATTATCTTTTTGGCCTTTCAGTGGGCAGCTTTCCAGTCCTCCCTGCCAGTTGTTAATTGTAGTCAGCTATTTTGGAACATGAGGGGTATGTAATTAGTAGTGTGGAATACTAATTTGAGAATTCAAAATATGTCTAGATTCTTAGCAAAACCTAGAGTGTAAATTAAAGATAAATGTCTCATATTTTGAATGGGATAACAAGCCTTTATTGAATAAACTTACCTCCTCAAAATAACTTTTTATTAGTGCTAATAATAAAAATTACAATTTAAAACTTATGAAGGAAAATCTGAAAAGAACTTGCTTCAACTTCTTTGTCAAAAATGTGTTGTTTTATGTTTGCTCATCTGTCTTCTCTCGCTTTACATTACCCCAGGAAACTTTGTATTTCAGCATCCTTAACTGACACTGACAAAATTGCCAAGCACAGGATTTCCTGGAGGCTTGGCCCTTTTGTGTCAGGATGAGCAATGGACCTCAGTCTTTTGATACGCGCTTCCCCTTTTATTTCAAGGAGGAAATAACTGTCACTATTCTGGATAAGTTTTCATTAAAGAGCGTAAAACTTTAGTATTTAAAGTTTATCAGTGGAGGGAAAACTAAGTGCTTTTAAATTTGCTGTATATACAAGATGGTTCATAGCTGGCATTCAAATGCTCTGTGTTTTCTTATAAGTGTTTCAGTATTTCAGTAGTTTGTATTTTGGTAGAATTTTTTTGAGCCATTAATAGGGTAATAGAAAAACTGAAAATAGTAGCCTTAGGCTAATGTATTGGTAATTACAGTAAAGCATTGATATGTGAGCATCCAGGGATATCACTGGGCATTTAAAGTACATAAATTTGTATTATAATATAAAAGCAGTTTTCATTGGGAATAGATTATTTTAAATTTACATTTTCCTTTTTTTTCTACAGGAAGGAACTTGAAACCTTCAAAGGTAATTTTGTGTCTAATTCTTCACTTTAAAGTAGATGAGAGTTAATTGATGTCAGATGTTCTTTCTTAATGATGATGAAAGAACTCATTCCTTTTTCTTTAAATCCGTTTACATCAAAAAAGTTTGCTTAATGCTGTTTTGTCAGTTTTATGTAATCACAAGTGGTTTTGATATTCTCTTTTAGCTATAACACATGTACCAAGTGAGAGTTTCTACTAATGACTATTATAAGTAATATGTTAGGATGGCACAGTGCTAACTTTGAGGTTGTTGAGAATCATAATTTAAGAAGATTCTGGTTTCTGTTGTGCACACTCTGGACCACAAGGACAGGGCGTGGTGATAAAGATAGAGCTGTGCCCCTGCAATTGACCCACATTTACTTGAACCTGCTGAGGGGTGTTCAGTGCTGGGTCCTGCTCTGCCATTGTCTTGAAACTTGGAATAAGTCTCTTAGTGTTTTTCAGGCTCAGTTTTTTTATCTGTAAAATTAGAAGTTCTGATGAACTGTATTCTAAGATGCTAAAAAACATCCAGTATTGCTTTTTAATTTTAGGTAACTTCTGAAAGTAGAGCCCTGAAGAATTCTTGGTCATGTTGACCCTTACTAGTCATGGAGAAACACTAGTGAAAAGTAGGGAAAACCACAGACTTTCCAAGCACCTCAAAGCCCTTCCAATTCGCTGTTTTTCAATTACTCATTAGCAATTCAGTAGTGAAATCTCTATTCTCAGAGAGACTCATTTCAATTATATTTCATATAAACTAGTATTGACCTTTAGATTTACTGAATGGTTAAGGATTTTCCAGTATATCATTTATAGTTGAATTGTTTATGTTGTGATCTCTTTGGGTGTCTTAAAAGAAATGACCCTTGAGATAAAAGGTATAAAGGCTTATTTCTGCTATAACTGAACAGACTCACTTTGGCTAGATTTCTATTTAACTGCCTACAGTTATAGTACATGACTAAGTTCATGCCAGTTTGTTAAGGGAATGTTAAGTGATCACATGATATATTATCATGGCTATCATTATTCTTAATCAATTTTTGAACCATGACCCATACACATTATTTTTTATCAGTGGTTTGGAATAAGATTTTAAATCCTCATAAAATGGTCTTTTCCCTCTCATTCTTTCTTTTAGTCAACTAGCATCTTCTCTCACCTTAGGAGAAGAAAAAATCAAGTTAATATTAAAAGACAGGCAGGGACAATAGTTATGCAAAAATGTCAACTTGCATTTCAGTACTGAGGTGTTCTTTGTTCTTTCTAAGTATGATAATATTTAGAGAAAAAGAAGAGACCAGCAGTTTGCAGAAAGTTACGTTCCATGGTACCTGATAGACTAATTTAATTTATGCTGATATATCTTGTTTATACATACATCCCTAATTATTTACAACATTTTACAGTACATCCAACCAACCCATAGGCCAATTAAAGTTCTCAAGTTTGAACAAACCATAAATTGATTATTGTGTCATATCAAGTTCTTTTTAGTGTCAATATTCATTAAAAATTCTTTCCTCTTGAGTGTTTTGCTAATATTTTGAAAGCATAAATAGCATATAATAAAAGAAGAATTGTAACTGCTTTTCCAAGACATTACATAGAGAAGGAAAAAAATTCAAACAAATTGTGACAATTTATTTTCGAACATCATTGCCTTTGCCTTTATTTTTCCTTTTATAATAGGGTACAGGAAAGCAAAAGGTGTTACTTACTCCAATTGTTTTATTTAATTTGTAGTTGTATTTGGAAGCTTTTTTCTAAGTTGGTAAAAAACTAACTTTTGGGGACAAAAACATAAAATTAGTAACCCTCAAAGTAGTAATATTGGTTAGTATCATCCACTGAGTTCTGGATTCTTCTATCTTCCATTGAAGTTAATGCATCACAGTTCACCTTTCACTTGTGCTGCATGTATTAAATCTCTACAATATTAAGGAAGCAAGTTATTGTTTGTTTGGTTGATACTCCTAGCAGAAAGGTTTTCTATGTTCCTTGGATATTGCATTCTTTTAAACTTTTTAGTGATAGTCACTTGAATAATAGACAATAAAAAAAGGAGGTAAGATACTAAAAGTCTTAATTTTTTATTTTCAATAGGGAAAGAATTACCTTATTGGTAAGCACAGGTAGAAAACATATAGGCATACCTTGTTTTATTGCACTTCACTTTATGGCACTTAGAAGATCGTGTGTTTTTTACAAATTGAAGGTTTGTGACAACCCTGTGTTGAACAAGTCTATTGATGCCAATTTTTCAACATTTTCCCACTTTGTGTCTCTTTGTCACATTTTGATAATTCTCACAATATTTCAAGCATTTTCATTATTATTATTATTTGTTATGGTGATTTGTGATCAGTCAGAAGCAATCAGTATTGAAGCAGGCCTCCATCAGCAAAATGATTACAATTTACTGAACTTTCAGGTGACGATTAACATCTTCTTAGCAATAAAGTATTTTTAAAATAGATAAGTACATTATTTTCTGAGACACAATGCTATTGCACACTTAATAAACTACAATATAATGAACACAACTTTTATATGCACTGGAAAAACAAAAAACTTGTGTGATTTGTTTTATTGCGATACTTGCTTTATTGCAGTGGTCTGGAGCTGAGCCCACAATATCCCTGAGGTATGTTTGTAAGTTTTTCACACTCCTTAAAGACATGTGAAATTGGCCATGAATAGACATGTCTGTTATCTAGGGATTATCCATCATTTTTCCACTTTCATTTTTAAAATAGATTGTTCATGTATAAATATTAAAATCACTCTTAAGATTTTAAGTGTAAGTCTAGAAATTTTTTTCTTACCTCCATAAGATTTCTGACTTGACATGGTTTTAATATGCAGACTTGCTCTTGAGCCTTTCCTTAAATGTCTTACCAAATTTAATCGTCATTTTCCATTTTCTCTATAAAAATACTGACAGCCATAGCATGCTGAGTGCTGGTGGGCTGATAGGCTGCTCATCTGTACACCTAAATATTTTTGTTTCCACCAGTTGCATTGAATGCTTACCCAGAGTTATTTGTGTTTGCTCTCAAACTCGTTTGTACTTGTTATTGTGATACATAATTTGTCAGATAAAATGGTAAAACCTCAGTGTTAAGGAGAATTGTAAGAAAACTAAGTTTACTGCTTTGAAAGACTTAATATAAGTAAGTAGCTTTAAAAATTGATGTAAAGGGTATAATTAAGAATTAGAAAACATTGAGGAAAAATAAAAATCCTGAAAGATTCTGTACACAAATTGTTTCACATCTTAAATTCCTGTTCTGCTTGTAAAAATAGAGTGGAAACTTTATCCACTGCAGTATGGGTGGCTTATGCAAGAATTTTCAAATCAGTGGACCTATACTCAAAGAATTCATGAATAAAAAGTATGGTTATATTTTAAGTTACAGTGTATAGTGTATTTCTATATTAACTGATTTTTTTAAAGTTGAATGAGCAACATGGGACCCATCTCTTATGATGGGTATCATCATAAGAGAATGTCTGTTATGATCTCCTCCTTAATATAAAAACACCCATCCATGTCAGAAATGTGACTTGCCAGTGTGAAAACGTGCTAGGATTTAGGAGTTGTCACTGTCACAGCGAGTGGATCATCATGGGAGTTTGCGGAAAAAGACATCTAAGGCCATCCTGATACAGTGTAATCACATTTAAGGTTTAGCTTGGAAAGCAGCACCAATGAAGGAGACAGGGCCAGTGTGGTCAGAGAAACAGGGAAAAGACCAGGACAAGTTAGTGACAGGGAACGCCAGAGAGGAAAAGGGTTAAAGGAAAAGTGGTTACCAGTGATATAAATAATGCAAAGAAGTTGAACAGAATGGGGAAATCCCATGGGATTTGGCAATGAATAGGTAATTGGTGGCTTGAAAGAGCTATTTGTAAAGGGAAAACCCAGATTGAATATGAGAAGTACATGAGAAGGTAGAAAATAAAGGTGACATGAACTAACTATTCTTTCATGAGTGAAAAGAAAGAAATGAAAAGTTAATGAGACAGAATCAGGATCAGGGGAGAAGGTGAAATCACAGATGTTAAGGAGTTGATTACATAGAGAGGATGGAAAGCAGGATATTCAGATGGTCATCCTTGGAGAGGACCCAGGGACATCTCTTTACCTGAGACCTCAGAGAAGAAAAGGATGGCAGGTAATATGGGGAAAAGCTGACTTGGAGGGAGGAAATACATTTTTTGAGACTATATGTAAGGAAAGATAATCTGAATTTGCAGAGCTTGGCTCAGAAGTAGAAATTAAAACCCAAACAAACATACTTTGGTTAACATAAAACTGGGGATGGGAAGAGCCTAGATGATGGGTTAGCAGAGCATGGTAACCTTGGATGCTGATGAGTGCAGAATTGAAATGATTGGCTATGGAATTGACACTGGAAAGGAGAGGCCTGACTAGACCAGTAAAATAAGCAAGATATGAGGTACTGGTGATAGTGTACACCAGAAAGGTGAACACTTAAATAGTTTAGGTAGATCTTGTGGTCAAAAATGGAATCTCAGTTTGAGATCTTAGAGGTAGAGCATTTCCCAGTGATGATGATGACTAAATTTGAGTCAACATGGAGGTGATAAGATTGACTAGGTCGTCCGAATCGGAGCACTCTGAGACCATAGGAGTCTCACTTGTTAGGATGACTCTTGGATATGGATTATGCATACTGCTGGCATGTTACAGATCTGGATATGATGAGAGATGGTAAACTTGGTAGAGTTTGTTGGTTCAATTCAAGAGTTGACTTAACATAAAAGGCAAAACTGTTCAGCCAGCATTTGACAATACGTAAGTGTTGAATACTCAGTTTGGATAATGTAACTGTCCTCTGTCCTCAAGAAGCTAAAGCACTATGACAAAGCTTGTAAGACAGAAAGGCAAATGTATAATTTTAATGCAATGTAAAAATATTGTAATAGAAATAAGCACACTAAGATGGGAAGAATAGACTATTT